AGCACAGTACCATATAACCAGCCGCCGCCATTCAGTCTAGAGCATGTAGCAGCCTCAAGCCGCCACCCGCCTAGCCTCACTGTACTACGTAACGTCACCGCTCGTCACCACATTACTTACCGCCAGTGTCAACAAGGGTGTGTGTATCTGTTAGACATACAGCACGTCCTCCTGTGAGTACCCTACCGTGTCCAAGTATGGTGTGTTAGGAAAGCCTGTCATCAGAGGTCTCACGTCATAACAAGCGAAGCCAGGTGTCAGGCCACCTATGAGTTCTCGCATAAATGTGCACGACTGAGTGAACGGAAAAGGTAGACATACCTGTAGGTACAAGATCTTGTTTCGTTATTATTGTGTTTGATCTGAGTGGTCAATCACAGTACTCACCTTCTCATACCTGACACAGGTATAGGTGGTGCGAAACACCTGACGGTGTATGCGTGTTTATCTGTGTGGTACCACGACATTGCACTCATCTGTGAATGTGAGTTTCATATACACCACTCATTTAGTTATTGTGTGACATCATTATTGTGCATGATTATTGCCTGTCCCATTGACAGTGTCATTGTTGATTTATTGTGCATCATCACTACTCGAGCATCCTGTTGGAACTCCTGTGACCCTTTGCACACCAACAGTTAGATTTGCCATGTTAATGATTGGTTGTAAATTGTGTTAAGTTAAGTGTTTCTCCACGAGTGGATCAGAATCGATTAGTCAGACGTCAAGAGTCTCACTAATGCAACTATAGCCTTTCTGATGCCAATCTAAAGTAAATCAAGCATCTATTGTATTTAAGTTTGTAAATAAACTTAAATACAATCAATAAAACCAATAAATACAACCAATAAACTATTGGTTAAGTTTTTAAATAAACTACTGTTCAGCTTTATGCGGTGTTTCCATTGAACCACTTCTGAATACTGCCAACTATTACTTAACCCTTAAGTTGCGCAACATATCATATGATGGGTTGAGTGACCTGTATAAAATACGCATCCCATCATATGATATATTGGAGTACTACGCAAGAATTAAATGGCCCGTGGATACACAGGGTTCACCTCACCATCATCAGGGCTCTTGTAAACAGACGCCATTTCTAAAAAAAATCGTGGGCCAAATTCCTGGGTGTGAGGGCCTCAGTACTGAGTGAGCCACCAAGCCTGATGCACGCAGCATGAGCTCACAGCACTGCTGTTCAGCTTGTGACCACAGTCCATCGACCCCGACGGCCTCACAGCCAGGGAAGGGCATATACCAGAAGAGGGACATATCATATACCAGAAGATGCCGTGACCAAGCTGATGTGAAGAGAACCACGTCCGGGCTCCCAAACATCCGGCAGAGCCATCCATTCCATGGACAGGGGAATGGGACAGGCCATCCACCAGTACGTTGGACCTTCCTTGGACATGAACTGCCAAGAAACGAAGTACAAGACAACCTGATCCAAAACAGAAGAGAGCCTACGGATGGACAAGAAATAACGAAAGGACAGCCAGGAAACTTCATACAGTCGCCGAGACGAGGCGCGCTGGTGAAACACCATCAACGAGGCGACCTGCTTACCATACAAATGGTGATAGACCCGCGTCAGAAAGACCAGACGTGAAGACTTGAGGAGAAGATCAAACCAGCTACGTAACGGACTGACCCGATCTGCTGAAAGAGACAGAGCCGCGGGAAGATCCTGGTTGATACCTGGTTGATGGGGTTCTGGGAGTTGTTCTACTCCCCAAGCCCAGCCCGAGGCCACGCTTGACTTGTGAGAGTTTGGTCCACCAGGCTGTTGCTTGGAGTGGCCCGCAGGCTCCCATACCCACCACAGCCTGGTTGGTCCGGAACGAATTTTAGAAAACAGTCTAGTTTTCTCTTGAAGATGTCCACGATTGTTCTGGCAATATTTCTGATGCTCGCTGGGAGAATGTTGAACAGCCGCGGACCTCTGATGTTTATAGTGTTCTCTGATTGTGCCTATGGCACCTCTGCTCTTCACTGGTTCTATTCTGCATTTTCTTCCATATCGTTCACTCCAGTACGTTGTTATTTTACTGTGTAGGTTAGGGACCTGGCCTTCCAGTATTTTCCATGTGTATATTATTCGGTATCTCTCTTGTCTTCTTTCTAGTGAGTACATTTGGAGAGCTTTGAGACGATCCCAATAATTTAGGTGCTTTATTGCGTCTATGTGTGCCGTATATGTCCTCTGTATTCCCTCAATTTCAGCAATCTCTCCTGCTCTGAAGGGGAAAGTGAGTACTGAGCAGTACTCGAGACAGGACAACACCTGTGACTTGAAGAGTACAACTATCATGATGGGATCCCTGGATTTGAAAGTTCTCGTAATCCATCCTATCATTTTTCTGGCTGATGCAATATTTGCTTGGTTATGCTCCCTAAACGTTAGATCGTCGGACATCATTATTCCCAAATCCTTGATATGCTGTTTACCTATTATGGGCAGATTCGATTGTGTTTTGTACCCTGTATTATGTTTCAGGTCCTCATTTTTGCCGTTCCTGAGTACCTGGAATTTATCGCTGTAAAGGATGACACGAAGCTGTGACTTGTATTTTTATCTATATCTGATATGAGAATAAGGAACAGCAGTAGTGCAAGGACTGTACCTTCAGGTACAGAGCTTTTAACTGCGCTTGAACTTGATTTTATTTGAATGACTGTTACTCTTTGTGTTCTGTTCGACAGGAAATTGAGTATCCAGCGTCCTACTTTACCAGTTATTCCCACTGACCTCATTTTGTGTGCAATCCCTCCATGATCACATTTGTCGAATGCCTTTGCAAAGTCTGTGTATACTACATCTGCATTTTGCTTTTCTTCTAGAGCTTCTGTGATTTTGTCATAGTGATTGAGTAACTGTGACAGACAGGATCTTCCCACTCTAAATCCATGTTGTCCTGGGTTGTGTAACTCATTATTTTCCATAAAACAAGAAATTTTATTCCTAATCACTCTTTCAGGGGCTTGGTGTCCAAACCCATGGGTTTGGACACCAAGCAAGCAGCGAAGGTGGTGGAGGCCAAGACCGTCAGTAGTTTCAAAGCGTTATATGACAAAGAGTGCTGGGAAGACGGGACACCACGAGCGTAGCTCTCATCCTGTAACTACACTTAGGTAATTACACTTAGGTAATTACCTGAATCCAAGGCTGGGCCATTCACCAAAGGGCCAACAGGACTACTCTCCCTTGGTAAGTCTCCAAGCGAGCTAGGACCTGGAGCAACAGCGGAACAGGGGGAAAGGGGGAAAGAGGTACAGGTAACCCCCACCTTGACCAGTCCTACCTGAAGGCATCGACCCCGATGGCCTTGCAGTCAGGGAGGGGCGCCATATATGCCTCGAGGGGCCGCATATGTGGGAGATGCCTCGACCACGCCGACGCGAAGAGGTCCACCTCTGGGAGCCCATACGTTCGGCAGAGCCAACTGAACGAGCCAGTGCTGATCGTCCATTCCATGGACAGGGGAATGAAGCGTGACAATTCGAATACAGCCAGATCATTGATCTGCGAATGACCCGAACCCTCCGAAGCAACATCCACACGGCTGCGAACTCCCGCAACGTGCTGTGGGCCTGACGCAAGGACAGATTCCACCACTCCTGGGCAGCCTGGTGAGCACTGGTCACAAAGCCCCAGCCATAGCCGACGTAAGGCACCCGGAGGCCAAACCCAGCAATTGCAAGAGAGGCAGAAGGGACGTTCCCAAAGTAACTAAAACTGCCGACGAAGCCAACTCCAGCTCAGTGGGTTCACCATCATGGCAAAGTTTAGACTCCCGCACAGACCCCCGAGCAACCGCCGTGTGACCCAGGAACCCCCCAGAAACAGGCTAAGGTGGGACTGTAGAAGATCGAAGGAAGAGACAAGGAAGCAGTCCATGAGTCCCACACAAGACCCAGCCAAGACCGAACCTGAGAGGGAACAAAATGGGACTCCCTCCAGTTCACTTGGAACCCGAACCCAGTGAAATGGGAAAGAACCAATTCCCTGGCAAGCAGACACGCGGACTGGCTGGAAGCCCATACTAGCCAGTCGTCTGGTAGGCCAGAACCCGAACCCCTAAAAGATGCAGACTGGCCACCACGACCCGGAAAAGGCGTGTGAACACACAAGGCGCCAGATTCAAGCCGAAAGGAAGACAACGAAAGCGGTTAGTCACAACAAAACCAAGCCAGTCCCTGAACCCCGGATGAATCGGGATGTGCCAATACACATCCTGGAGGTTCGGGGACACCATCCAAGCACCCGGCTCCAAAAGAAGCCAGACCTGGGACAGAGTAGTCATCCAAAAGGAGAGGCAATAGACCCAGAGGTTCAGATAGGACAAGTTCAGAATGAACCGCCGATCTGTGCAGTCCCGTTTTGGAACTGGAAACAGACGGGAAACCCACCTGAGAAACGAGGGCATTTCGACCACCCTCAAGCGAACCCACTCCAAGTTGAACCGACAATAAGCAAGAGAAGAGGCCTGCCCCACCAGCCACGAACCCCACCAAAGAAGGAGGGGCGACCCAACGCCACTGCAGGTCAAAAGACACGACCTGAAAAGCCCTCAAATCGTGGGACCAGGCATGAGCAAACAGTGCGAGCTTCCCTTCTATTCCCTATCAATAGGATGAACCACGAAAGGGCCAATGCATTACAAAAAGCCGACTTACGAGCAGAGCGATCACCACGCCGACCAGTCATCGTCGGTTACAAAGACGGTGCCGGCTCCAAAACTGGCATCACTGGCCTACAACAACTGAAGGAACCCCGAGCCCTGGCCCGACCCTTCCGGGAAACCCCCCCCCCCACGGGCCCTTACCCCTACTATAGTTTTATTATTTAGCACTATACTGTGTTTTACTACTTAATCAATGAATATCTACTAAGGTAACATTCACCCTTTCCACAGGCCTTATAGACTTAGTAATAGGAAGTACCCAAGCTTAACTCGACAATTTAGTTGCAATATAATTAATAAACTTACTTGCAATCATAATAGTTTTTGAATTGCCACCAAGGGAATCTTTCAACAACCAGGTAAGGACTGAATCACGGTAGGGAATGAAGACACTTTTTCCTGTGGTGGCCTTTGCTGCCTGCTCAGCCAAAGCACTGATGACTGAGCCTAGAGTCACCAGTGACTTATTAATGTGAGCACCTTCTTTAAGCCTCTGCCCAGTTGCTCCTGTTGCATCTGCTCTTTCACTGAAATATAATGTATGTACTTAAATATACAACAACAAAAAGTGATCAGAGAGTATTTTGTCATATACAATAACAGTGGATCTAAGAAATGGTATGAAACATAATTCGGAAAATTGCAAGAGTAAAATATATATACTTGTCTTCTGTATATAAATTTCCATCCAATGAATTTGAAGGTTCCCTCAATAATCTCCTTCCCTTTATTGAGTTAAAAAAAACTTTATTCTATTTCTTAAGTAGCATATCTAGTGAAAATTCTCATCATCAGTTTGACTCTAATCTTTGGAAAATATTCCTCAATACTTTACTATCATTGCCCTCTCTTTCCATATTGTAAAAAAGAGTCAAAGATGAACCATCTCTTGCTGAATACTGTACTAATTTACAACTGATATACCCCAAACATGCAGGACACCATGGAAGATATAACTGAAGAGTGATAGGCAGTTGGTGAACAGGTACTCTTACTCTTAAAGTAGGAGTAACATACACTTCCAATAAAATGTTTCCATTCATATAAAATAATAAATCCCTAATCATCATTATCTGGGAACTAATCACCATTACTACCATCACTTTTTCTCCAACAATCCTTAAGCCTCCATAAATAAATAAATCAGATCATGCCAAATCTTTCTGATGTTTCAATGAATGCCAACATGCCCCAAGATGTGGCCTTTTGGTAATGCTTCAAGAATAAATCTAATCAATATAAGTTGCAAATAAAAATTTTTACTTACCTGCCAGCTAAATCAACAAGGTGAATTTTAGACCGAGTTTCTAATGGAGTGTCTGACAATAGTTTAGCCTGAATGAAGGTTACAGTAAAAATAGCATGACTTCTTGAGCTTGTGTCATTCATGTGGGTGCTTGCAGTTGTACGATGCGAGTTCCCTCTTCTCATCAATTCCTGTGCAAATTTGATATAAAATAACTTGGCATATATGAATATGTTTTATATACAAGTAGTACTAACTAAATGAAAACAATTTTAATAATAATAATGCACAAAGAAATCACAATAAAGTGATGTAACAATGAGAAAATCTGTAAGAGCCACGGGGAGGATTCAAACCTATGCTCTGGGTACTCCCAAGCACACGCCTTAGACCACCACAGCATGAAGTGGTCATAAACAATGGAACCTGGGATTCAACTGAATCCTTTAGGGGGGTCCTGAGGTTTCCAACTGAAGCCTAATTAGGGCTCCACGCATTGCCCTCCCTGCACTCTGGTCATAGTCTAGGAGTTCCCATTGCCCCCAGAGTGCACAGGTGCAATGCATGAAACTGTGATTAGGCTTCAGTTGGAATCCTCAGGACACCCAAGAGTGAATCCCAGGTTGCATTGCTTTTGACCACTTTGCGGTGTAGTGATCAAGGGTGTATGCTTGGGAGTACCCAGAACATAGGATCAAATCTTCCTCATGGCTCCTACTGATTTTCTCAATAATAATTAATAATAATTAATAATAGCAATTAATAATTAATAATTAATAATAATAATAATAATAATAATAATAATAATAATAATAATAATGCACAAAGAAATAACGTTAATATGATATATGCTTTGGAGTACCCAGTGTACAGATTTAAATCCTTATCATGCCGCCTACTGATTTTCTCAACAACAACAATGGTGATGATTACAGTATCTACTTGATTTAACGGTCTCTTATTTACCGATCTGCCAGTTCTAACGACCGGTTTGGGAGACCGGTATCTGGAGCCTCATATACAGGTCTGGCGGTCGATAGAACTGAAGGTCGGTATTCGGTTTGTTTTGGCATCAGGGGGTCCTCACATGGCAAGCAGGCTGCCGACCTCTATCATTCCCTCTCTCCCCCTCACAGCACCTCTCCCCCACACCCTTACTTCCTGCGTCCCCCTCCCCGCAAGAGACCCTTCTGGGAGGTGGCTCAGTAGATTGCCAGCCAGAGATAGCCTGGAGAATCTCCATCTAATACAATAAAGCATTCATGAAACAAGCATTTTTATAACTTTTATTATACTAATAATATTACTAAACAAAATCTGTAACCAAAAATATATATGATGATGCAAATCCAGAATTTAAGAAACAAATCTGGCTAATGGGTACGAGTGTGTTAGGGTTATCGGAGTGGGCCGGTCCCTTCCCCACCATCGACACACCTCCCCCACCACCCCTAAAATCCCATACACGCTCTCTCTGCTTCCTTGGTCACATAGTTCAACTCAACACCCATCCCTCTCTCCATCCCTTCATCCATCCTTCCATCCATCCATCCTTCTATCCCTTCCTCCCTCCTTCCATCCATCCCTCCATCCATACCTCCATCCATTCATCCATCCATCCATCCATCCATCCATCCATCCATCCATCCATCCATCCATCCATCCATCCATCTATCCATCTATCCATCCATCCATCCATGCATCCATCCATCCTTCCATCCCTCCCTCCCTCCCTCCTTCCATCCATCCCTCAATCAATCCCTCCATCCATTCCTCTATCCATCTATCCCTTCATCCATCTCTAAATCCATTCAGCCATCCCTCCATCCATCCATCCTTCTATCCATCTATCCATCCATCCCTCCTTCCATCTATACATCCCTCCATCCATCCATCCATCCCTCCACCCATCCCTCCATCCATCTATCCATCCCTCCCTCCCTCAATTCATCCATCCCTCAATCCATCCATCCACCCATCTCTCTATCCTTCCATCCATCCATCCATCCCTCTATCTTTCCATTCATCCCTCTATCCTTCCATCCATCCATCCATCCTTCCTTCCATCCCTTCACCCTTCCATCCACTGCTCAATCTATTCATCCATCCCTCTATCCATCTATCCATCCATCCATCCATCCCGCCCTCCCTCCATCCAGCCATCCATCCATCCCTCCATCCTTCCATCTCTCTATCCCTCCATCCATCCACCCCTCCCTACATCCATCCCTCCATCCTCTCCCTTTATCCATCTCCATCCTCTGCTTGCCTGCTCCCTCCATCCATCTCCATCCTCTGCCTGTCTGCTCATCCTTTGCAGATGACACTAGGATCTTCATGAGAGTAGGCAACATAGAGGACACGGCAAACCTCCAATCAGATGTAGATCAGGTTAATGGTATTTTCTATGGGCTACAGAAAATAATATGGTGTTTAACGAAGATAAGTTCCAGCTCATGCGCTACGGAAAAAATTAAAATATAAAAATGGAAACCACGTACAAAACTCAGGCAAATCATAACATAGAAAGAAAATGCAATGTAAAGGATCTGGGGTGTACTTAAGTCGGAAGACCTTACCTTTAAAGAACACAATAAAGTAGCTGTCACAACTGCAAGAAAAATGACAGGATGGATAACAAGAACTTTTCACAATGGAGATGCTGTACCGATGATGATGCTTTTCAAAACGCTTGTGCTCTCTAGAGTGGAGTACTGCTGCACAATGACAGCCCCTTTCAAAGCTGGAGAAATTGCTGACCTGGAGAGCGTGCAGAGATCCTTTACTGCTAGAATCCACTCAGTAAAACATCTAAACTACTGGGACCGACTAAAGAGCCTAAATCTGTATTCCCTTGAGCGCAGGCGGGAGAGATACATAATAATCTATACGTGGAAAATAATTGAGGGGCTGGTCCCAAACCTGCACACAGAAATGACATCACATGAGACCAAAAGACATAGCAGGATGTGCAGAATACCCCCGTTGAAAAGCAGAGGTGCAAAAGGTACTCTGAGAGAGAACTCTATCAACATCAGAGGCCCAAGACTGTTCAACACGCTTCCACTACACATAAGGGGCATAACTGGCAGACCCCTCACAGTGTTCAAGAGAGAACTGGATAAGCACCTCCAAAGGATACCTGATCAACCAGGCTGTGACTCATACGTCAGGCTGCGAGCAGCCGCGTCCAACAGCCTGGTTGATCAGTCCAGGAACCAGGAGGCCTGGTCGACGACCAGGCTGCGGGGACGCTAAGCCTCGGAAGCACCTCTAGGTAACCTCAAGGTAAGGAGGCTACAAGATGACCTGGATGAACTCAAGGAATGGTCCAACAAATGCAGGAGGCCAGATAAACGGTATCATTTGGGAAATGAAATACTTCAAGAATTAGGGAGACAAAGACCTGGGGGTTGATATCACATCAAACTTGTCCCCTGAAGCCCACATCAGGAGGATATCATCAGTGGCATATGCTAGGTTGGCCAACATAAGAGCTGCCTTTAGAAATTTGTGTAAGGAATCATTTAGAACCTTGTATACCACATATGTCAGACCAATCCTGGAGTATGCAGCTCCAGCATGGAGTCCATATCTAGTCAAGAACAAGACAAAACTTAAGAAGGTTCAAAGAAATGCCACCAGACTAGTACCATTGCTGAGGGGTATAAGCTACAAGGAGAGATTACAGGAACTAAACTTCATGCCACTGGAAGAAAGAAGAGTTATGGGAGACATGATTATCACATACAAGACTCTCAGAGGAATTGATAGGCTAGATAAGGACAGTTTAGTTAACATAGGTGGTACATACAATAGTACACAGGTGGAAACTGAGTACCCAAATGAGCCAGAGACATAGAAAGAACTTTTTCAGCCACAGATTAGTTAACAAATGGAATGCATTAGGCAGTGATGTGGTGGAGGCAGACTCCATACACAGTTTCAAATGTTGATAATCACAGATCCCAACAGGCTCAGAAATTTGTACGCCAGTTGACTGATGGCTGAGAAGTGGGCTCAAAAAGCAGAAGTTCAACCCTGCAAGCTATTAGGTGAGTACAATTAGGTGAGGTAATTAGGACATCAGGTATAAACAGTTAGGAGGTGGGTATTAAAAGCTTGATTTCACTCCTCCTACAGTCACTGACAGATAAATTGATAGCACATAATTCATCATACCTGAATATCATGATACTGGTGGACTAGATGGCAGGAGAGATCTTCAACATAGGGGCCAAGTTTAGGGTGCTCTCTAACACGAAGAGAGTGCGTGGTGTTTTGGGCACCTTGTCTCAGCAAGTCTTTCACACGTTCATTGTAGATTTCTAGGTAACTTACTTCAACTCTGATAAAAGAAACATCAATATAAATGATACTAACAAAATTTTATGCAATTATTAAACATCTCCATTTTTCACCTCTCAGTGGTGCCAACAACCCTACTCCCCACCTCTCAGTGGTGTGAACATCCCATTTCCAATGTTTCAGTGGTATAGACAACACCACCTCCCGCTTCTCAATAGTTCAATTAGTTCCACTTTCCATCTTTCAGTGGTGCAAACATCCCCTAACTCCTACTTATCAGGGGCTAAACATCTTCATTTCATACCCCCTCCATAGTGTAAACACTACACTTCCCACCTCTCAGTGATGCATACAGCTACACTTCCTGTCAATGTGGTACAAACCACCTCATTTCCCATCTATAATGGGATGCAAATATATGCAACCTCCACTTCCCACCTATGGGTACAAACAACCCCACTTCCAACTTCTCAGGGGTGTAATCTTACTTTCCACCAATAAAGGCTGCAATCTGTTACACTAATTAGCCAACTCACATACTATGATGATCTGTGAATTGCAAAAATTATTAGCAAGCTATTTATTCAAGAAACAATTTTGTTTAATTCAAATAATGTTTACTCCTTCAATTTAACAGAACATCTGATGATATTTACAGAATTTTTAACTTTGCTTCTGTGAAAGACGCATGAAAGTTCTTGAATAGGAAAACTTACTTGTAAGTAGTTCCAGCTTCTCTGCCTTCAGCCATTGATGAAAACAGAGCTTCACATATTCTGGGAATCAGCCCTGGATTGGCCTGCAGTGATATAATATTATATTCTTAAAATGCTGAGCTAATTACAGTAACCATTAGGCTTAAGTATTACATTATACATTATTCAAGTAAGTGAATAAAATGTTCTTAAATTTGAGCCATTACTTTTTGCAATAAACCAGCATTGAATGTAATGAAAAGTCATTTTCTGGGTGAGACCCAGAGGCTTCCCAGAGTTTATCCAGGCTGATATGGATATCAACCTGATGATGACTTTGGCATCAGTGTAAATGGAGTTCTTAGGCCTACCGGAAACCAAGAGCCAGAACCTGGCTCCCCTCAGAAAGGCACAAGGAGCAATAGCCTATAGAAATGCACATGTGATTTGGAGCATTCTGCACTTTATCTACAAATCATTCTCTCGCCTTGGTTACCCTTTGCATTTCATCAACTGTGCCTACTCTCAAGCTAAACTAAATTTCTTTCATCCTAAACCTGCTTCCAACACTAGTAGCACTGTACTATGCCTTCTCTTCATATCTGAACTCAAAACTTTTACCAATACCTTTCGTCCTCTTGACATTAAACTCGCCTTTCGACAAACTAACACACTTCGTAGCAATCTAGTTCACACTGCTCCTCCTGCTTCTAATGCTGCTGGTGTCTACTCTATTTCCTGTTCGTCTTGTCCTCTCCAATACTTTGGCGAAACTGAATGACAGACTTAAAGAATACAAGAGAAGTGTTAAGTCTGCAGACACTAACAATGCTCTCTTTTGCCATGTGAGGGATTCTAATCATCCCATTGATTGGTCTTCCTCCAAAATAATCTTTCCTGCCTCTACTCTACACAGACGCTGTCTTGTTGAATCGGCTCTAATACACAATGTACCCAACATGAACTTGAGTCCTGGCTTTGTTGCTGTGGTGTCTTCCTTTTCACAGTATATACTCAAATGCTCTAATCTTTCTAACAAACATGACCTAACATAAGCCTACCCCTTCCATTTATCTTTCTTTCTCTTTCCTTTTCTTTCTCTCTTCTCCCTTTTCCTGTTCATTGTCTTCTCCTACGCTCCCTTGCTATCCTCTTCTTATTCCTATCTCCTTCTCATTCGGTGGTTATAATAGGAGCTGCCTCGTATGGGCCAATAGGCCCTCTGCAGCTCTTTATTATTATTACTATCCCCTCTACTACACCTTACTTTGCTCCTCAGATCTCTCTTGCCTATTTATTGCCTGTCTCTACTTCCTCATCACAATCCACTTGAGAATGGTCCAGGACGGACCGAAATGTCGTCGTCCCTTCACCTTCTAGTGTGTGGTCTGGTCAACATACTTTAGCCACATTATTGTGACTCATCGCCTGCAAGAGCAGCAAACTTATGAACGTCGTGGGCACAGAGATACCACAGGCTGGCAAGACTGAATAACCCTGCGGACGACCTGGGAGACCCGTACCTGGAACAGGGAAGAAGGGAAACAGGATCAACCCAAAGTGCATCCCCTGGACACAGAAGCTGTGGGGCGCAAATAATGGCGGTGAGCCACAACCGAACACAACACATGATGCACCCCCGGCCTGACCAACCAAGCATCAACTACCCAAGGTCCACTCCGGAAAGCAGCCTTCTCATTCTTCGCCAGAAAAGGAGGAGACGGCTGCAAACGAACAAACCTATCACCAGAGCCAAAGGAGCAGAAACCCCTGCACCGGAGGAGAGCAGGAAGCTCCCCAACCTGACTCCCCCCACCCCCCAAAGGCCAATGCCAACAGGAAAAAGAGCCTTGGAGAGACAATCCTCAACTGAAGGAGCCACAACAAACCAAGGGGAAGAGAGATATGAGAGAACCCTGTCCAATGACCAGGACGCCTCAGGCGCTGCATGAGCAGGCCGGAAGTGAAACAATGCCCGAGAAAGCTTGCGACACAGCACAGAAGTAACATCGATGTCAAAAGCCAGCTGCAGCGGCTCCGCCAGCGCTGCACGATACGAGGCGACATTATTCAGCATAAGATGACGGTCCTGAAAAAGCCATGAGAGAAAAGATAAGATCACCTTAACAGAGAGCGAAGTATACTTACAGAGAGACAAAAAGAAACAGAAGGACTGCCAGGAAACTTCATACTGCCGCCGAGACGAAGATCTCAGTTGGGACACCATTAACGAAGCAACCTGATCAACATACAGATGGTGATAGACCCAAGTAAAAAATACCAGACGCAAAGACTCGAGGAGGAAATCGAACCAGCCACATAACGGACCGGACTAATCATCTGAAAGAGGCGGAGCTGGGGCAAAACCCCTGGGTTCGGACACTAAGCAAGCAGCGCCTAAAACCAAGGCTGGGCCGGCCATCAAAGAATCTAAAGAACTACTCTCCCCTGATAAGTCTCCAAGCGAGCTAGGACCTGGACTAACAGTGGAACTGGGGCCAAAAGGTACAGGTAACCCCCACCTCGACCAGTCCTGCCAAAAAGCATTGACCCCCGACGGCCTCACAGTCAGGAAGGGCGCCACATGTACCAAGAGACGCCTCGACCAGACCGACACGAAGAGGTCCATCTCCAGGAGCCCGTATATCCGGCAGAGCCAACTGAATGAGTCAGCATCGACTGTCCATTCCAAGGACAGGGGGAATAAACCAAGACAGGTCATCCACCAGGATGTTGTATACCCCACAAACGTGAATGGCCAGCAGAGCCAGACCCAGAAAACTCAGCAGACGAGTCACCGAAGTGACCAGCCCCAAAGAGCCAAGATCCTGGCCACCACACCATCCACACATCAGACACAACCGCAAGGGCAAACTCCTGACAGGAGAATAAGGCCAAAGGTAACGTCAGCCCCAGTCAGCTTTAGTCGATGAACTGGTGGGCGAGCAGCCGGCTCAGGGGGGGAAGGGGGGGAGGCACTTGGTTTGATGACATTTTGCTTCTTGCATTATTTTTCTTGGGGGGGGGTGGAGTTATGGGGTCTGTTCGGTCTTAGGTTGCAATTTTCTACAAGTTGGGGTATGTTTTGGGATGCCTACCTTTCTGAGTGCCTAACCTCAGTCGATGGCCAACATGAATATCTTCTCAAAGAGTGGAGTTTTCATAGGCCATTGCTCCCTGCACCTCTCTGAGGGAGCCAGGTTCTGGCTCGTGGTTCCATGTAGGCAGAACTCCATGTGCCTGAAGCCCCAAACTAATATAGCATATATCAGCTCCAGGGAGCCGACGGGGCTCCCCACAGAAAAGCTATTAAAAGATACACTTCATGTATTACAGTAAAACCTGCAGCACACAATTAATAATCACTAAGTTAACACCTTAACAAACTATTACACTGACCTGGGAGCCCATCATTGTGAAGGTTTTGCCACTTCCTGTTTGACCATAAGCGAAGACACAGGCATTATATCCTTGGAGAGCATTTGATACAACATCTGTCCCTAATTCTTCATATATTTGCTCCTGAAAATGGGAAAAATCACATGAATATACTGTAAATAAATCTCATGTATCAGTTTTGGTTTTTCAGAATATTAGATGCCAACTGCTCCTGATATTCCATAAAAATGGCATCCCATAGATATTATGTATACAGGTTTTGCAGCTTTTTTTAGGGGACAGTGATATTCCTTTGTGGGTTCTAAGCCTCTGGCTAGTTCACTAAGTGTTACTCATATCTGTCTTTCTTAGGCAATGGATGAGCATTTATGACTCACATGCTGGCCTCAGTGATTAACAACTTCTTCTGCAACGTTAAATGTATGTGAAAATTCTAATTGGATTTTAACTCTACACTGCACTAACTACCACACTATGCACAGTGCCTTGAGGTGCTAAACCTGGGATGCTCAGAGCACTTAAGGCCAATCGTAGGTATAGGATAGGATTTAAAACTGGCATGCGGTGACTTCGGTATGAAATGGATGCCTGAGGCCTCCAGTGATAGTCTGCCATTTTGAAAAAAAAATCCCAGCATGCCCCACGGCCATGGGGAACCTCAGTTTCAAGGTAGCAACTGTGTCTGACACATCATCTACGAGCTCCTGGTCCATGATCAGCCACAGTGTTGCAAAACGACTCTCAGAGGATTTAATACAGGACATATTGTTTGATGATGGACCGATTATTGACCATTTAGACTACAGTCCACATGAAGACCTAATACAGCCATCTGACATGACTGATGGGGACAATGAGGTGCACGATGTCGAGTGTGTGTGTACAGTACACTCGTCTCGCCCGGCCTCCCACGCCACCTTGGATCAGCACCACTGGAGTTACCATCACCATTCGTGCTATCAGACGTAAGTTTACTGAGTGATGGTATAGATGATGAGTCATTTTCTGGGTTCAGTGACATAGGCTCAAATACTGTACAAGCATCGTTGATGAACCGATTGCAAGCGGCTATGGTGTTACTAGGCGAGGTTTTGCTGCCCCAGCACCTCGCCGATCCAACATTTGATGATACCGATTTTAATGTGACACCCTTATTTCCCTATACTGGTGATGATATGCCTGAAATTGATTATTTTATGGCATATTTCGATCAGCAATTCATGGACCATCTCATTGCGAAGACGAACCGATATGTGCTGGAACTCATTGCCTCTAGAATTTTACCTGCCTCTCGATTGATACATTGGAAAGACACGACTATTGAGGAAATGTATGTGTTTTTAGCATTGTACATGATGATGAGGCATGCATATAAACACATGATCCAGAATTACTGGAGCAATCACAGCCTTGTTCCAACCCTCATGTTGGAACAAGACAGGTGACATGATAGGTACATGTCACGTGATAGGTTCCTGCTGCTTCTCAGGTGCCTGCACTTTGAGAACAATGCTAATGAAGACAGACATGACAGACTGTGGAAAGTGAGGAAGATATTTAGTGAATTAAGAGGAAAGTTCCATGACTATTTTATACCAGCACAGAATGTTGTGACAGATGAATCGCTAGTTCTGTTCAAGGGACGACTGGTGTTCAAGCAGTAAATACCATCAAAGCAGCACAGGTGTGGACTAAAGTTCTTCGTGTTATGCGACTGTGAAACTGGTATGATCATGTACATGACATTGTATTCAGGTACGGACAATGACATACCAGTTTAAGATCCACATGGGTTCTCGGGTAGTGACGTGAAAACACTCATAGAATCATTGCTGAACAAGGGGCATATCCAGTACACTGACAACAAGGGGCATATCCAGTACACCGACAACTACTATACCAGCCTCTTGCTGACCAGATTCTTTCTTGACCACAACACAGGCATATGTGGCACTGTCAAGGCCCACAGGAGGGAAATGCCAGTGTTTGGCATTGGTATTGTAGTGGGTGAATGCCAGCTGCAAAAGTGTGATAAAATGTTATCCATGCGCTAGAGGGACAGACGCGAGGTGAATATGTTGACAACTATTCACACCAGTGCCATGTTAGACAGTGGTAAAGTCAACTTTGAAACAAGATTGGCAATGTATAAACCTGACTGTGTCATTGACTACAATGTAAATATGCGGTTAGTAGATAAATGAGACATGATGGTTGGTGCCGTCGAGTGCGTGCAAAAATCTGTGGAGTGGACGAAGAAATTGTTTTTCCACCTTGTTGATGTTACAGTGCTGAACTGTTTCAACATGTATCTCATGAAATCTAGCAAGAGATCACCAATCCATACATTCAGTGTTGCTCTATTGTCACAACTACTAGTGAAATTTGGGGTGGAGGGCAATGTTGTGACGTGTGCGGTGTCAGCAACAATGCCTCACGCAGTTCCTGACAGACTCAGGGGTAAGGAATATATGTCTGTACACAAGGAACGGAAGTGAAGATCTATCTGTACTTGGTGTGTTGAGTGCAAAGTTCCCTTGTGCCCAGTTGACTGCTTCACTGATTATCACACACTTGCACAGTGTTGTATATAGTCTGTGATAGTGTACAATGTGTAAATAAGTTGTAAATGTAAAGAATTGAACATGTAATATAGAAAATATGAACAATGTTTGTGGACACATTTGTGATACATGTAACACTGGTTCTTTGAATAGTACGGAAGTTTTACTGCCTGAATATTGTAAACCTGTTCAATATACATAGGATTGGTCAGAAAAAACAAAAGGTGTGCTTGCATAACCCTTTTCTGGTGCTCTTTCGGTCCTGCTGGTAGGTTTGTTCAGTTGCAACCATCTCCTCCTTTTCTGGCAAAGTATGAGATAGCGGCTTTCTGAAGGGGGTCCTTGGGTGGTTGATGCTTAGTTGATTCGGCCGGGAATGCATCATGTGTCATGTCTGGTTGCGGCTCTTCGCCATTATTTGCGTGCCACAGCCTCTGTGGCACACAAACGGGGACGCGCTATGGGTTGACCAATTTTCATTCTTCCCTGTTCCAGGACTCGGGTCTCCCAGGTCGTTCGCAGGGTTATTCGGTCCACCCAGCCTGCGGACTATCCTTGTGCCCATGACATTCGCAAAGTTGCTGCTTTAGCTGCCATTTTTGGTTATACTGTATGTCTTGGGCTGACATTTGGGCGCGAGGATTTTGGAGGTTGAACAAGGTCCTGGCTGCCTGCTACCTTGTTAGTGTTCCTGGCCCTAATCAGGTGTGTGTTGCATTGGGTCACAGGTTGCAGCCAGTTGTCTCGACTTTGCGTTGAGATGCGAGTAGCGGCCGCCTCCTGGGTAAGTCTCTCTTATCCTTTTCTCTGGTTAGGTAGCTCAGGGAAGCTGAAGGAACTCTCCACAGGAAACCAACGTTGAATGATGAAATGCCATTTTCTGGGCGAGTCCCGGAGGCTCCTCGGCAGCCCTCCCTCCCTCCCTCCGGTCGGCGGATTCAGCATTTTGATATTCAGTCTCTGAATTGGGGTTGGATGTCTGGTGCAAGGGGTTTTGGGTTCCCCTTTCCCCTCCCAGGTATGGAGGAGCTGCACAGACAGCGGCATGGCGGCGATTGTAACATCATGCTTGTTGCTTGTTTTCAGATTGTGGAGTTCTGCTTGATAGTTTGGTTTTTTATAGCAATTTTAATTAGGTGGAGTTTGTTTTCAAACGCCTACCTTTCTGGATGCCAAACCCGGTAGATAGCAGACAGAGAATGCTTCCATCCACATGGAGGTTTCTATAGTCCATTGCTCTTCATACCTCTCTGAGGAGGGCCAGGTTCTGGCTCTAGTGGTCCCCGGTAGGCTAGAACTCCAATTGAAATGACTGATGCCACGGTCTAATACTGTACATACATATCAGCCCGGAATAGCTCTGGGGAGCCGGAGGAGCTCTCCACAGAATAGGTCTATGTAAAATCGTTTGACGTGTCAGAATGCTGGACATCCTACATTAATTTTCTTCAAAGAATTCTATGTAAGATATAGGATACCCAGCAAGCTTCATACATCTTATTATGTAGCTCATACAGTATAGAATTTTACCTATTAGCATCAATAGAGGCAGCAACTCTAAGTACTGTCCACTACCAACAATCATTACAGAAATAAAACAAAGTTTTTTTGATTTGAATATAATATTAAAACAAAATATTTAACAAAATTCAATAATAAGTACCTGTGGAGCAAAATGTTTATCGGAGTCTTTGTGAGACCAATAGGAGTAATCAAACGTAAATTCCTTAATGCGCTCCCGACTCTCTCCACTTTCATTCGTGTTTACCTGGAAAACAAATATGTGAATTAAAATAACATTCTAAATACAGTACATAACCTATTTATTAAACACACACACACACACACACACAGTACATACAAACTTTTATGTAGTATTCCAAAAAATAAAGGTGACTAAAGCAAAAATCTAGCATTAAATTTAATGAAACATTTCTTTCTGGGTGAGCTCTGGTGGCTCCCTGGAGCTCTCTCGCTGAGATGGCTCCCAAGAAGTAGATTGCCCGTGGAGTTCTGTTTAGCCTACTAGGGATCAGAACCTGGTCCCCACCCCCATCACAGAGGCATAGAGAGGAAGTAATGATCTGCAATCTCCCTGAGAAACCATTAAAGAAATTCATCTTAGAAAATTACATCTTCATCACTGTTTTGGTTCATCCAGTGAAACAAAACAGACGATTGCTAGATTCAAAGAGACCAAAGCCTCAAAACTGCCAAACTCCCTCAACAATGTAAAGAAATTATTAAACCAATCATGCACTCATTTCCCACTAGCTAGGGAAAAGGAAGGGGCTCATACTGTCTACTGGCTAATGTCATCAGTTCTGGAGCAGATGTGCAAATGAAATGCCCCCAACCCACAACTGGAAGCGAGGGGAAAAGGGGTGGAATCAGGGAGCCATCAGGGCTGACCAAGAAAGAGGAGTTTCATTACATTCAACGCTGGATTTCCAGGGGTAGCCCCCTAGTGGATCCCTGAAACTAACTCCTCATGGACAAGAAAAACAGGGACTTAACAGGGAGAAGCCACAGGCAGTTACAATGAAGGTGAGACTTCAGACCAAGAGACATAACCATGCAATACAGACACAATGAGGCCCAAGAACATTAACCAAATAAAAGGCCACCACAACCCTGTTAGACCGCCAAAATCCCTGTGCCTGAATATCAGCCAAGGACATATTAGCAAAAGGGACCACAAGAGCAGCATACTTCCGAACATCATGGCAACAAGGGTAGACCACAGGCTGGGTAAACTTGATGATACTATGGACAACCTGAAAGAGACAAGCCTTGGAACAGGGAACCAGGGGAAACCAAATCTACCCACAAAACATCCACTGAGGCAATCGATGGAACAAAGGTAGCCGCAGAGTGCAGCCACCGACACAACACATGCTTCACCCCTGACCTAACCAATCAAGCATCAACAACCAAGGGTCCCCTCCAGAAGCCTGCTGACTCATTCATTGCCAGAAAAGAAGGGGAACAGCTGCAGACAAACATAATGCACACCAGGGCCAAAGGAATAAAAGTTCCGCCTTCAGAGAAGAGAAAGAGCTTTACACCATGGAGTTAGGAGAACTACCCTCCCTTGGTAGGCTTCCAGGTGAGCCAAGACCTGGAGCAACAGCTAAACCGTAGAAAAAAAAACACAAACCCCCATCGGGACCAGTCCTGCCGAAAAGCATCGACCCTGATGGCGCCTCACAATTAATGCCATGTACAGAGGAAGATGCCAAAACAACGCCAACGCGGAGAGGTTCACCGCCAATCGGCCATACGCATGGCAAAGCCTCCTGAAGAACTCAGGCTGGAGTGGACCATCCACTCCGTGGAAAGCAGAATGAACCGGGACAAGCCTTCTGCCAGAATGTTGGACACGCCTCAGATGTGAACTGCGCGGAGAGCTAAACCCCAAGAACTCAGCAGAAGAGCTACAAGGAGCAACCAGCCCCAAAGAGCCATGAACCGATGGGACTCACCTTGGTTGAGACAATGAACCACAGGGAGCAGTCCGAATGGAGCCATATCAAGGAGCACAAAGAAGTTGAATCCGGCACAGTGCCCGTCACACTGTCGCAAACTCCCGCATCTTGCTGTGAGCCCGACGGAAGGACGGCACCCAATGACCCTGGCCAACCTGGTGAGTGCTGGTCACAAAACCTCAGCTGAGAGACAAGGCGTCCATGAACACATCAAGCAAGGGAAGGGGAAGAGGAAGGCGCCATGACCCCAAACCCCAAAAAACCTTTAGAGGAAGCCAGCGATGCAGTAACCGATGCAAGGACTCAACCCAGCGGGTAAACCAGCATGGCAAAGTTCAGGCTCCCGCACAACTGCTCGAGCAACCGCCGAGCGACCCGTGTCCTCCTCAAAAACAGGTGAAGGTGGGACTGCAACCTGAGCAATGCCGCAGGAGGGAATGAGACGGACGACGTCCATAAATCCCACACAAGACCCAGCCAACTCAAAACCTGGGACAGAACCAACTGGAACTTCTTCCAATTTACCAGAAACCCGAACCTGGCAAGCTGGGAAAGAACCAGGTCCCTGGCTAGCAGACACGCAGACCAGATGGGAGCCCACACCAACCAGTCGTCGAAGTAGGCCAGAACCCAACGACCTTGCAGACGCAGACAGGCCACCAGGACCCTGGTTAACCTCTGTGATGCGGCACATTTATTGTGACATTTTGGTGGTGCACAGAAAATCAAGTGTTCACAAAAAAACAAAAAAAATTCTTTGTAAAATGTTAAATTCCCTTCCCTGAACATGTACTGTAGACGCTCGCTAATCCAGGTCCCGCCAATCCGGAAAATGCACTAATCCGGCAAAAATCGTGACCGGGATAAAGTTATCTCCCCATCCGGCCAAAATGTCCATAGAAGCTGGACTAGAGGATATTTGGCCAGGTCAGCGTATACTGTTAGAGAGTTTAAATCTGAACCAGCTAACTTGCTACCGATGTTGCCCAATCCAGATAGTAAGCCGGACAAGCATAGATTATTCCGGATCAGGAAGGCAGGAATGTTGGCCTCCTAATGCATGATAGAGCTGATGAGTTAGCCAAAGAATCTGCCTTTAAAGGAGAAATTGAGTATAACCTTGGATTGTCAATAAGCACTCTGAGAGCAATAGTACACCAAGAGCTTCAAAACAATCTTGTACATCTGAGGCAAAGTGAAATCGACAAAAAGTAATTCCATCTATCATCATACTATCATGCAAGAGGAGCCACACACATCTGTGGATCATTCAATAAAATCAGCAGACTTCTAAATGTTATTACTGCTCAGCTTAGACTCGGTTACAAGTATCTCTGGGAATTCTTATTATCTGCTCATATAGACCAGACAAAATGTAAATTGTGTCAACAAAATTATTGGCACACCCTTCATCACTATGTGATGGAATGCGAAAAGATATGTGATTCAGAGACAATTCTATAACAAATGTTCCAACGATGTGTAAATATTTCATTCAAAATGATATGCTACCAGAAATCTTAGCCAAATATCCCCAGTTTGCTAACTGTAGGTAGTAACTAAGTGAGTGTAACCTATCCACCGCTGCCCACTGGAGGGGGAAGGGGGGCAGTGTTCAGGACAAACATATCAAGTGTTACACTAGCTCTCCACATATGTCAGTTGCTTAATTTAAAAACTGTACTTGTGATCGATCTTGAACCCATTGATGATGTGACGATGTGTATTGAATTTCGTAACTAGCTCATGAAGATTGTAACTTGCTTAGTTAAATGAATTGTGGGGGTTCAGTCCATGAGCCCATTATGTGCCTCTGTAACCCCTTCCACCACTGCCCACAAAATAGGTATGGGGTACATAATAAATGACCTAGACTAAACTCTCATTCAGCCTATGGATCAGGGAGTTATTTGTGCCACAGAAAGGTTGTACACCAAAAAGATGTCCAGCGAAGTTTTGGTGGTTTTGCCTCTAGAGGAAGATGTGAGACTCGGCATGGATAACAGGGCTAAAAGAACCCTTGAGAATTTGAAGAACTATTCCATCAAGGAAGCCATCTATAATTGAACCAAGGTGTGAAATGAAGTACTTTGAAGAATTCCTGGAAAAAAAACTCCTCACATAACCAATCAAGACGACGATCTATCAAGGTCACCAATGAGGAGGATGAAGAAATGAATTTTGAAGGATTTACAGATTAAATCCATGGAATGTTCAGAAATGCTGACAAAAATTTAGAAAGACAGGATGTGGTTGATTGGCTTGAAAGAGATGCTAATAACCCAGGATATGGTGTGATGAGTGAAGAAGAGATTTTCCAGCCTGAGAGACTGGTGAGGTTGACGAAGAGGTGGAGAATGAAGAAGGCAGTGAAGAACCAACACCACAGAAAACAAAATAATGTTTACTCATGTCTACAATTGACATGTTAATTAATTTTTCATCCAACTGTGCTAATCCAGAAGTTGGAAATATGTATCAGTACCTGAGGCATACCAAAGAGCTGATGTTGACCAAACCAAACAATAGAAAGTGAAGAGACAAAGGAGGCAAGGGCAATTAATAGGCAAGAGAGAGGTGAGGAAATGGAAATCTTAGAGGAAGAAAAAGCAAGGCAACAGGTACGGAAGGTAAGGTGTAATACAGGGGGGTAATAATATGAATAAGAAAGGGATTGTAAGAGAAAACAAGAGAAAAAGAGATAAAATTAAGGGTAGGCTCATGTTAAGTCACGTTTGTTAGAAACTTTAGAACATTTGAGTATATACTGTGAAATAGGAGAGTTAACAGAAACAAAGCCAGGATTCAGGTTCATGTTTGGTATGTTGTGTATCAGAGCCAATTCGACAAGATGGCTTCTATGTAGAGTAGAGGCAGGAAAAATTATTTTGGAGGGAGACCTATCAATAGGATGATTAGAATTAACATGATTAGATTAATATGATAGAAGAAAGCATTATTTGTGTCTGCAGACTTAGCACTTTTTTTGTGTTCCTTAAGTCTTAAGTTAAAACCCTTGGCTTTAGTACCTGTAGGTGGTATGTAGACCACCAAGTTTGTGAAGTGTAAGGTAGTCTTGAAAACATTATAGGAAAAGATCAATTTGTTAGATAGTCTTGAAAAGATTGCTTTGTAAGGTAGTCTTGAAAAGATTGCTTTGTAAGGTAGTCTTGAAAAGATCGCTTTGTAAGGTAGTCTTGAAAAGATCGCTTTGTAAGATAATCTTGAAAAGATCGCTTTGTAAGGTAGGACTGAAAAGATTCAGGTATTCTTGAAGAGATGCAGGTATTCTTGAAACGATTGCTTTGTATGATAGGATTGAAAAAATCCAGGTACTGTATTCTTGGAAAGATCTAGGAAGAGCTCAATGACAAAATTCTGTCCTGGTATCACTCATATTTTCACCAGTAATGTATATGGGAATGTGGGTGCAACACCAACATCAGAATCATCAAATTGTGGTTTGTGTTACAAAATTATCACAGTCCTCCCTCGCGAATTCTCACGTGCTCCTTGAAAGCCACCACCACTACTGACAATAATCACCACCATAGAAGCTGCTAACACACTGTTCATCTATGCTACTTGTATCAAACTCATCATCACTGAACCCAGAAAACGATTCATCTATAGTATCATCTATAAAAATTGGAGATGACACAGGTGGGCATGGGTGGTGCTCAGCCACTACTGGATATGCTACTACTGTATATACACTACTGGTACAGCCACACGAGGCAAAATCCAGAACAGGAAAGAGAGGCCAGAGGTGACATTTGACCGCCATGCACATCAGTCAAGAAATGAAGAATGAGCTGCGGGCTCGCCTGAGCCGGCTACCCCTCCCCCATTAGGGGGAGGCACTAATGAGTGGGAGTACTAGTTGGATGACGTGTTGCTTGTTGGTTTGAATTTTGGGGGAGGTTACTTTGCTCTGTTCGAATGTAGGTACTGTAGCAATTTTCACCAGCATGTGGTCTGTTTTTGTTTTGTCTATCTTTGTGGGTGCCCTCCCAGGTCAATGGCAAGTATTTCATATTTTAAATGTAAAGTGCTCAAAGGCCATTGCTCCCTGCACCTTTCTGAGGAAAGCAGGTTCTGGCTCATGGTTCCCGGTAAGCATAAAGAACACCCATGACTGATTACTCCAAACTAATATTGACATTTCAGTTTGGATAGCTTCAGGGAGCCGATGGAGCTCCCCACAGAAAAAAAAGGTCTATAGAACAATTTAAACAAATTATTTGGCAAACAAATTATTTGGCAAGCAAAAAAAAGGAATATAGAACAATTTAAACAAATTATTTGGGAAGCAAGCTGTCAGGCCCCAAGGTGACTTGGGGCCTGACAACTGAATGGACAGCGCTTCGGATTCGTAGTCCTGAGGTTCCGGGTTCGATCCCCGGTGGAGGCAGAAACACATGGACAGAGTTTCTTTCACCCTGATGCCCCTGTTATCTAGCAGTAAATAGGTACCTGGGAGTTAGACAGCTGCTACGGGCTGCTTTCTGGGGATATGTAACAAAAAAGAGGCCTGGTCGAGGACCAGGCTGCGGGGACGTTAAGCCCCAAAATCATCTCAAGATAATCTCTCAAGTTAGCAATCACAATATACTGTATACAGTATATTGCCAGTTAAATAATCTGCCAAAAGAGTGTTAATTTTGATTTATATATCCTAGTTCTCAAGTAATTACAAATAGTTTCATAATTCATAAATACCTTATGATTGATAAGCTTTGTTTTCTTGTCTTCAACTTCCACAATACATACAGAATTCAAGTCATATTCCCTGAAAAGAAAAAGTATATTAAAATAAAGTTATAAATGACATTATAAATCTTTTCTATAAAATAAGTACATATCTACCTTAAAATTATCTTCAAACTACTAGTAAAGATTCGTGGAGGGATCAAAACATTAAAGATACAGACGTAAGAAGCAATCAACAAATACATTATTTTAATCAATATAGTATTCACTACTATTCTCTCTTGCTCTCACCTCCACTATTAACTCTCATATGCTATGCTCATTCACAAACACAAGAATAATAACTTGAAGGTTGAATGAAATGAAATTGTGAGCATGTGAATATTTCTCACCTAAACTACACACCCCTCACCCCACTACACAGGGAGCCGGTCGGCCGAGCGGACAGCACGCTGGACTTGTGATCCTGTGGTCCTGGGTTCAATCCCAGGCGCCGGCGAGAAACAATGGGCAGAGTTTCTTTCACCCTATGCCCCTGTTACCTAGCAGTAAAATAGGTACCTGGGTGTTAGTCAGCTGTCACGGGCTGCTTCCTGGGGGTTGAGGCCTGGTCGAGGACCGGGCCGCGGGGACACTAAAAGCCCCGAAATCATCTCAAGATAACCTCAAGATAACCCCCAGATGCAAGGCGACTTGTGCACAAAGATGCATGAGGGGGGGCCGCACAGTGTTAATTCAAGTCGATTTCCCATTAAATTGGATATCTTTGAAGAGCTGTTCTCACCTAGAATCAAGATATTATACAATGGCTAACATACCAGACTGGGTTATGTTACAAGGTCAGGGACACCTTACTGAACTTATAGATAGCTCACGGGTGATGCCACCATTTCCGATGGAGCAGATGAGAACTCAAGTCAGATGAACAAGAGGATTAACCCTTTCATTGTCCAACGCAGCTGGGGTACATCTCGCTAATTATCCATAAATAGCATGACACCATTGAGAAAGGCAAGTACCACATAAGATTTATAACTCCTGTCGGTACAAGGGGCTCACATTTACTTCCTCAAGCTTATAGTAAACAGATGTCATCTTCGAGAAAAATTGTGGGCACCCCTCCTAGGTATGAGAGCCTTATTATTGAAAACCAACCATGAATAGTGCATGTAGCTCATGCCCACATCACAAATAATGAAGAAGTAAATAAGTAACTGCAATTATTTAATGATGATTGGTGTCATAGAATTAGTGACCGAACCCGGGACGGAACCAGATGGGACTTCCTCCAGTTCACCAGGAATCTGAATCCAGTGAGCTGGGAAAGAACCACACCCCTGGTGAGCAGACAAGCGGACCGACTGGGACCCCACACCAGCCAGTCGTCGAGGTAGGCAAGAACCCAATTCCCTAGCAGACACAGACTGGTCACCATGACCCGGGCAGGATGCGTGAATATGCGAGGTGCTAGGTTCAAGCCAAAAGGAAAGCAACGAAAGCGGTAAGCCTGAAGCTCCACCATGAAACCTAACCAGTCCCTAAATCCCAGATAAATAAGACCATGCCAATAAGCGTCCTTGAGGTCCAGGGACACCATCCAGGCACCCGGCTCCAACAGAAGCTGGACCTGAGACAGTAGTCATCCGAAAGGAGGGGCAAGGAAGCCAGGGATTCAGACGGGACAAGTCCAGAATGATCCGTGGTCATTTCGACCACACCCAAGCATACCCACTCCAAGATGACCTGATGAGGCCTGGCCCGCCAGCCCCAAACCTCTGAAGGAGGAAGAGGAGCTGCCCAACGCCACCACAGGCTGGATGACATGAACGAAAACACCTACAAATCTTGGGACCAAGAGCGAGCAAACCGAGTGAGCCTCCCCCCATCGCCCCGTCAACAGGGCGAACCGCGAAAGGACCGACACCCCTTACGAGAAGCCAAATGCCAAACAGAGCGATCACCGGGCCGACCAGACGACGCTGGCTGTTCGGTGTCAGCACACCCAGTTGTGCTGACAAAGCGGGTGCGGGCAGCAGGGGCGTTGCACTTGAGCCTTGGTGGTGGCAACGTTCTCGTGGTTTACTCCCAGGGAGCCCCGGGGCTGTCCGTTGTAGTTCGTTTTGGGACTTGGGGGTGTTGGTTGCTACGGTTCCATCCACGCCCCCTTGTCTTTCCCCTGGTTCACCCTTCCTGCCTGCATCCAGTTCCTTACCGTCTGTAGGTTCGGGGCGGGGTTTTTGATAGTGTTGAGACTCGGGCAGTCTCGGGGAATTCCCCTTCTGGGGTAGTGACGGGGGCATTTGAGCCTGTTCCTCCAGCCGTGTTGTATGAATCTGCCAGTGGGCTCCCTTCCTTAGTGTTTTCACGGCTGCCCCGGTTTTCTGGTACTGTACGACCGGGGCTTTGGGGGAACAGCTCGGCCCCGGGGCTGGGGAGGGGTTGACTTGGGGGGCCTTGGCCCCGTTGGACCCTGTGGGGGTTTTTATCCCCCTCTAGGCGAGGCTTGTGGTTACGCGGAGTGGGGTCTTTCCTCCCCACTTGCCGTACGTGTTGTTGGGTGTCGGCCCTTCCCCGGGCTCGATTCCTTGGCCTTTGAGTCGGTTGGTTCCATCCTGTGGGTGGATGTTTACTCCCACCCTTTTTTGGGACGGTGTTTTCGTCATGTTTCCCAGTTCGATGGGGTTCTACGTGACTTCTGATCTCGGGTGCGCCTGCGCCTTTGTGTGCCTTCGGGACTAGTGTTGGCTTCTGTGTTCTCGAGGGTTCGGGGAGGTTTTCGCTACTTCCCGCATTATTGGAACGTCTGTCGGCTCCTCGTCCTTGTTGCCGTTTTGGGCTACTTGTGGCCCGGTTGGGCTACTTGTGAGCCGGTTGGGCTACTTGTAGCCCTGTTGGGCTACTTGTCGCCCTGTTGGGCTACTTGTCGCCCTGTTGGGCTACTTGTCGCCCTGTTGGGCTACTTGTCGCCCTGTTGGGCTACTTGTCTCCCGGTTGGGCTACTTGTCGCCCGGTTGGGTTCCTTTTTGGGCTCGGAGGGGCCTTGTCGGGGCTGCTTATGTTCTGCCTCGCGGTTTCACCTCCGGTTGGTGGTCGGGTGGCTTCGTAGTAGGTGTCCCACCTGCGTGCTTCTCTTGGCGGCAGTATGGGGTATTTTGGCGGTCCTTCCTTTTCCTGTCCCTTCTTAGGTGGTTACTCTTGTTAGCTTGGTTTACTCTCGGCTTGGTTTTCTGGTGGGGGTTGGTGGCCATCGTCTTGCCACTTACTGTCGCCTCTTTTCGTGTGGCGCTGGCGGAGCCGCTTCAGCTTGCTTTCGGTCTTGGTGTTGCTTCTGCACCGTTAGTAAGCTGTCTGGTGCGTCGTTTCACCTCCGGCCTGTTCGTGCGCTGCTTGCACCATCCTGGTCTCTGGTCAGCGTGCTCTGTCTTCTCCTCGGTTGGTAGTGCCCCTTCGGTTCCGGTGTGTTTTTTCGTCGGCTCTTTCCTTTTGGCCTTTGCCTCTGGGGGTCGAGTCGCTGAGTTTTCTTGCTCCTTCGGTTTTAGCGTTTTGGTTGTTCGGTGGCAGCAGTCTAAATCTTTTCTGGCGCGGGGTGGGGCTGCTGCGTTCTGAAGGGGTCCAGGGTTTGTTGGTGCTTCATTGGTCGGGCCGGGGGGGTGTCGTGTTTTGTGTTCAGTGGCAGCCCTCCGCTGTTGTTTGTGTGCCACGGCGTTTGGATCCGGAGCGCGTTTTGCGTTGATCCGGTTCTGTTCTTCCCGGTTCGCGGGTGATGGTGTCCCGGGTGGTCAGCCGTGTTCTTGTGGCTAAGCTGCCTGTGTTTTCTTCCCTCATGCCTGTGGCGTTCATGGCTTCGCTGCTCTCGCTGCCATCTGGGCGACGTGGCCTTGCGGTCTTTCGGGCATGGATTTTTGGTGTTCATGCGGGGGGCCTTGCTGCTCGTTGTTCTCGTGTTCTTCCCGGGACTTTTCGGGGCTGTGGCGCCTTGGGTTGGTGCTTGCTGCCAGTTGTCTCGCTTCCGTGGGAGGTCCGTGGTGTCCGCCTCCCGGTTCTGTCCCTTTGACCTTCCTCTGTGGATAGTTAGCTCTGGGGAGCCGACGGGGCTCCCCCCAGAAAACCAGCGTTGAATGTAATGAAACGCCATTTTCTGGGTGATACCCGGAGGCTCCCCGGCAACCCTCCCTCTCTCTGGTCAGCGGTTTTTTGCGTGTTTTGACATCCAGCCTCAGAACTGATGGGTGGATAGCCGGCGTGGGAGGTCTGGGGGGACCAGACCTCCCACAGACAGGTCTGTGGGAGGTCTGGTCAGACAGCGGCGCGGTGACGTATGACGCAGACAGCGGCGCAGTGACGTATGACGTCATACTAGTTTCCTTGTTTTCTGTTGAAGAGTTCTATCCACTAGTTCGGCTTTAGGTAGCAATTTTCACCAGAATAGGAGTTTGTTTTGGAATGCTTACCTTTCTGGATGCTTGACCCGGTCGATGGCAGACATAGAATGCTTCCTACCACACGGGGGTTTCTATAGGCCATTGCTCCCCTTGCCTCTCTGAGGGGGCCAGGTTCTGGCCATGGTCCCCCGGTAGGCCCTAGAACTCCATACACATGACTGATGCCAAAGTCTGACATTAGCATATCAGCCGGTAAAGCTCCGGGGAGCCTCCGGGTCTCACCCAGAAAATGGCGTTTCATTACATTCAACGCTGGTTTTCTTATGGGGAAATTCGTTTCAGTTTACAAATTTTCGGGTTACGAACCATCTCCAGGAACGAATTAAATTCGTAAAATGAGGTACCACTGTTCATAGGATTGGCAAGAAAAAACAAAACAAATGTATTTGGAACTGTGTGCAAAAAATGAACAAAAATATATTTGTGGCAACTCGCGCATCTTGAACCTGGCGCGCGACTGCCCCTGGGAGTGTGCGCTAAGGGCAACCAGCACTTGATGATGTCACGCGCCATTTTTTGGACCCAATTGCAGCCAAAGAAAGTGCAATTTTGAGTTTATTTTCACATTCCTGTAATCAGGGAAGGTTTTTTCACATTTAAAAAAAAAAAAGTCCAGAGAATTTATTTCCTGAGCACA